ACATCTGAGCCACCCAGGTGCCCAAGAAAAATTTCTTTTTGAAGTCACATTTTTTAATGCTTTCATTCTTATTCAAAATCAGTGCAGCTCTTAGTCTGCAGCAGCAGGAGTTACAAACCAAATTCTGGTAGCTACAGTACTAAGTATCATATCATGCCTACAAGTCATTATGAAAAGAAAAATGAAAGAATGCCTTTCCCTCCAGATAAAAAAAAAATTTAATAAAACAATGAGGAAAAATAGCACTAAATCTAAAATGATTTGCAAAAGAATATTATGAAATAAGTGGCTTGAAGTTAAAATACAAGGTTTTAAATTTTATTTCTTTGATTTTGCTTGTGCATTTTTTCTCTTATCCTGCAAATCTTGGTTTCTAATGTCATTAACATGATTGCTTATGTTGTATTCATTTCAAAATAGCAATATCAATATTATTAGTAGCAGTATAGTAACTAATACAGTTTACTTTTTCTTTCATTTTTTTGTTCATTTTACAGTTTTTCTTTATGTTATATTCTACTGGGCATATATAGTGAAATTACTCTGTTTTAAAGTAACTTGAAATAGTTTTCTGTGGTTAAGCCACTAATCTATTTACACAGTCATGTTCCATTTGCTTCATTTTGGCTTCAATTATTTAGAAATAGCTTTGTCTTTTATTTCTATTTAGTTTTGTTTTATGACTTTACACAACATTTATGTAACCCCAAAGTCAAATTACAAAACAATAAAGATACTTAAGAGAGAAAGTCTAACTCCCAATTATCCCTCCTACACTTTAGATAATAATTTTGTTAATTTTTGGTTTATCTCTACATTTAAAAATATAAGCACACATGTGAATGTACATAAATATGTATCTACCTACCTATTTACTTCCCTTTTTTCTTAAATAAAAGGTAATAAACTATATACATTTTTTGTGCACCTTTTTTTTTTTTTTTTTTGCTTAACAAGAGCTCCTGGATATCCTTCCAAAGTAGTATATCGAGATCTTCCCAATGCTTTTATATAGCTCTTCATTACATACCATACTTCATTCAACCATTTTTTTGTTCCAGGAATTCCTCAATTCTTCTGCAGATGCTGATGGTATTCTTTCTTAACATATTTTCTTATATAATACATACATAGAGAGAGAGACAGAGGGAGAGAGACAGAGAGGAAAGTATGATAAGAGGCATGGAGGACATCTGGAAATTTCAACATCTGCCTAAAAGGCATTTTATTATAAGAAAATATAGAAAAAGAAAAAAAAGAAAATAGTCAAAGTTAAAAGAGAAAGAAATTCCCAGAGCTGAAGAAAGACTCACATTGTCAAACTGTAAAGGATCAGAGTGTATCAAACCTGGTAAATGAAAAAAAGACCCATATTTGGAGGCAAACTGTTTAAATGTCAAAACTTTAAAGAAAAAGCCGAACCTTAAAGTCAAATAAAAAAATAATATTGTCTGTAAAAGAATAAAAATAGTTTGAAATTGTATTTTTGTGGATAAAAATTTACTTGTAAACTTTTGCAGTTGTTAGGTTACTACTCAGTTAAAATCGCTTTTATATATTTAGTTTCTGTTTGCATTTCCTCTCTGTGAACAGGTTTTCCTTTTGGTGACTTTTTAAATGCACTTTATAGGGTGCCTGGGTGGCTCAGTTGTTAAGCGTCTGCCTTCGGCTCAGGTCATGATCCCAGGGTCCTGGGATCAAGTCCCACATCGGGCTCCCCGCTCAGTGGGAAGCCTGCTTCTCCCTCTCCCACTCCCCCTGCTTGTGTTCCCTCTCTCACTGTGTCTCTCTCTGTCAAATAAATAAATAAAATCTTTAAAAAAAAAATAAAAAAAATAAATGCACTTTATGATTTTCTCATCAATTTATTGGAATTCTTTATATATAAGGAAAAATTGCTAAGGTTTTCTGTTGTTGCAAATATATCCCTAGTTTGTTATGCACTTTTAAATTGTATTATATCTAAAATTCAAGTTGTATATTTATCTTTAAAAAAACACCGAGGGGTACCTGGGTGGCTGTCGGTTGGGCATCCAGTTCTTTTATTCAATTCAAGTCATGATCTCAGGGTTGTGGAACTGAGGCCCGCATCAGGCTCTGTGCTGGGTGTGGAGCCTGCTTAAGACTATCTCTCTCCCTCTCCTTCTGCCCCATCCATCCCCATCCCAACTCACACTCACTCTTTCTCTCTTTCTCTAAAATAAATACATAAATAAATAATAAATAAATAAATAATAAAAATTTAAAAAACACTTTTTTTATTTTTTCTATTATTTTTGTTTAGATAAAATGTTTTCATCTAGAGACCAAATACTCATTTTTTTATTTTTATTTGAAATTTCTTATGCTTTCTGTTTTTTAATTCAGGTTTTAAATTAATTTTCAATTTATTTTGGTGTACAGAGAATTTACTTTTCACAAACAGCCAATTTTCTCACTGAATTTAATAAACACTCCAGTCATCTTTGGTTTATAGTATTTCCTTTATGATATATTAATTTCATAAAAACATGCATACAGTAACATCTATTTCTAAGCTCTCTATTTTGACCCATTAATCTATTTTTATACCAATCGTTTAAATTATAGTAGCTCTATAATACAATGCAATTTCTAATATCTTATAGGACAAGGCTATAAATATCTCATATTATAATGAAAACGTGTTAAAAACATATTGTCAAATGGTACTTCTAGACCTCAGTGGCCTTAAGAGGAGATTTCTATCTTAGTAACAGGCCTCTGAAACCCACTTGACTAAGATGTTTATTATCACAATGGTCACTGTAGTTAAGCCACTATTATAAAAGGATGAAAACAAAAGTGGCCTTTACTTTCCAGGATGTGTGATTATATCTGGTGGAGGACTATGCAAGATATAACAAATGGTCTATGCAAGATATAACAAATGGTCAATGCCCTTCACACACACCCTAATGGGATTTTCTTTTAAAAGTGTTCTTTTGTGCTTCTACTCAGAAACATTGACCTCGAACTCAGTTGTCGCTTCTCTAGTTTGTTCCTCTTGGAAATGAAGCTCTCACTTTAGTTTCGGGGCCATATGCCTATGCACAGACTGCTGGTAAAACCGTGGCATTCGGCCTCCAGACCCTGAAAGGTCAACGTGAAGCATCAGAGCTCACATCTGCAAGGGCAGAGGGAAGGCTGCTGCACATTTGTCATGTAACTCTGATTTTCCTGGAAACATGACATGGCATTGGGATGAATGAGCTATTGATATGACCTGGGTGAATTTCAAATAACGAGCCTGAGTGAAAGAAGCTAGACCCCCTCCCCCCAAAAAAAGTACATGCTGGAGGATTCTTTTTATATAAAATTCTAAGAAATGCAAATGAATTTACAGTGACAGAACGCAGATTAATTGTTCCCTGGCAGGAGTGGGAGGTCAGAGAGAGAATCCAGAGGGAGGAATTACAAAGGGACACAAGAAATTTTTTCAGTGATGGATATGTTTATTATTTTGATTGTGAAATTGCACACTTTAATTGGGTACAGTTTATTGGACATTAGTATCTGTGTAAATGTGTGTGTGTGTTTACAGTTGCAGAAAACCAGGCAAGTAGTAGGGAAGAGGTAGAGAATAGAAAGAGAAAGATATAACAAAGTACCGGGGAGGAGATAAGACCAAGGACTCTCCAAATGATTCGATCGCAGCTATAATATAGCCCAGAAATGGGGATCTAAACTGGTTGGACCGAGCTGTGCTTTGCAAACCTTAATGTATACATAAACCCCTGCAGATTTGTTAACATGCAGAGTGTGATTCAATAGGACTTGAACTGGGACCTGAGACTCATTTCTCCCTAACTCCCAGGTAACACTGATGCCACAGGTCTTTCAATGATTCTTTTGAATAGCAAAGGGCTAGAGAATTGTGGTGCATATCAGAATCATTGGAGAGCTTTAAATAAATAAATAAATAAATAAATAAATAAATAAATAAATAATAAATAAATAAATAAATAAATAAATAAAATTAAAAAGAGAAAACAAACAAACACTTGATACCTGTATCTTGGCCCCAGACCCCAGAAACTCTTATTTAATCAGTCTAGAGTTCAGTCCAGGTGGAATCAGAAGTTTTTAAATCTACCCAGATGTTCTAATGTGCAGCCAAGGTTGACACTACTCCAAAAAGAGTGATAAAAGTCTTACCATGGAATGAGGAGGAAATAACACTGCAAAGGTAACAGGGAGTGTCCCTGTTCCAAACATGCAAATTTACCTGAGTGTGATTTGTACCTGTATAGTCCTGCCTTTGTTGGTGATACTTTTGCTGCTTTCATACCTGGCCTGAGAATAAGTATCAGGCTAATTACTAAGCAGGCAGATGGGGAGCGTGGCCTTCCTGAGATTATAGCCACAGGGAAGAAAAGTCCTCACAGTGGAGGAAGCTGATTCGGGAGACTGGTCAGACACATACTTACCAACATATCCGCAAAGATTGTTCATTGATAGGAGACAACCCCCCCCAGCCTGCCTCCTCCTGTCCATGATGCGCCACACACCAGGCAGGACAGACCATGATGCATTCTTCTAATACATCCCAGACTTGACTTTAAAAATCATTTCAGTTCGGCTAGTTTTCTATTAATGTTAATAGCTTGGAAATTATTTTGTGATCTGTGTTACAGATTTGTATCTGCATCACAGAATTCTGATTCTGAAACTACTGATGTCCCAGAATCCAAAAATGTTTAATGAGACATGTCAATTTAATTGTGCTACTTGGAACTTAAAAAGCCAGAGTTTGTCAGCATTTTGCTGACAAATGTCATCCTTTACATGCTGATCTGGGCTACCGATTAGGTTCACCATTGCTGAAATTACATATCAGGAAATGAGCTCTCTTTAGTGAAACAAAAGACTTTTTTTTTTCATTTAATTAATTAAAGTGCAGCTTAGGACCAGAACAAACTTTTGAGTATATGAAAACAGTCTGGTTTGGTAATGGTCATTATGTTTAAATTCTGACACAGAGGATGCTGTATACCTGGATGATGATAAAGAAAGAGAAGAGTATGTCCTGAATGACATCGGGGTTATTTTTTATGGAGACTTCAATGACATCAAGAGTAGAAGCTGGAGTTATGGTCAGGTGAGCCATTTAATATTTGTCATTGTCAAGGACATTTTTCCTTAATATTTTTTTTGTCACATGTATCACTACAAGGTGCCATATGTCGATATTAGACATGCACAATTTCCTGCTTTTCAGAATCTGAGACTCCAAGACAGACAGCCCAGGAGTAGAGACTTAGAAAGGCAACTACATAATTTATACACTGAAAGCACATATCTTTGGGTATTACAAGGTTACGGAGATCAGAGATTCTATGGATAACATGGCATTCTAGTGAGAAATGCTTGGCATCCAGTACAGTGAAATCTCATTAGCTCAGACATTGTTCTTCAACATGGAATGGACTGAAATTTTCCCTTTCTTATAAGGAAAAATGTTTTGATAATACTGCAAAGGACACTACAAGGTATGTGGTCAACTCAGAGAAATCACCTTTTTTGTTAGTATAAGATACTAGAAAATTAGAAATGAGAATTAGAAAAGAATGTCACCATTTCATCAGAGGAGGTCCCACTAGACTTTTACCTTGAGACATTTTATCAACTGCAATCTTACAACACACTGTCTGGGTATAAAATAGCAAATGGTATTCCATTTAAGATATTCAGTAATTCAAATTATTTCAGTTTGATATCTCTAACAATAGAACAAGTGACTGATATTTCTACCAAATTCCCATAAGAAGGCATGTCCTGTGGTTCAGCAAAGACCCTTCATTAGCAACATGAGAAAAGATGAGTGTGTCATTTCTCAGAGAGTTTGGCTGAGATGATTGGAATTGTGCACCATTGTTCTGGGTATACAGGAGGGTAGATTTCATGGAACCTGGCTTCACCAGGTCACATGATACTTTCTTGGTTTCTGATACCTTCTTTTGACTTCCATGTGAGCTTTCCCTGCATCCCTTACCCCTGCTCCAGCCTGGCCATTGGGATCAATGTCATCACTAGTTCTTATCTTGTCTGCCTGACTTTATGACCCACTTCTTCACCCGGACTCCTGAGAATTGTGTGCCCAGTGCTGAGACTTGCTCACCTGCACTTCTGATGCCCTGCCAAGCTAATCATCTGTGTGTTCTTTTTCTGTTTTTGGATCCCCACCTGGTTCCTTGGTTACAAGCCCTCCCTTCCTGAGTGACATACAACCCACGATATCGCCTATTGTCTAGTGCCTTAATTCCTAATGTTTAGGTGTGATTCTATTTATATCCCCAAAGTAACATTATGTAGAGATCAATAAGGAAAAAAAGTCACCAAGGTGGGTAACAGGGAAGAGTTGGAAAGAGTCCCAAGCATGATCAGGGTATTCCTCAGCCAGCATGCTGAGTAGACACCCTTGAGCACAGCCACCATCTGTCTCTGTTGTCATTCAGAGTCCATTAATTTGGGTCTTTCAGTCCAAACAACCAGCCAAGCCAGTAGTTTGCAATGGTGCAGGGAAACAACTAGTTCTGTGACTATTTCTTTACCTCTCCAGTTCACTACTTCATGTCCCACAGGCTGAGAAATGATGCTTAATAAGAACCAGAACAATGAGTTCTTTACATATCTGAAGAACGAGCACCCTTACTTTACAGCATGCATCCTATCAGTTTAGGGTTCCCAGAAAGTTGGTATTTTAACTAGATTTAATAAAGAACTACACAGTAATTAGCCATTAAGATTGTGGTTTCTGTCACAAGTACTTGGATGGATATGCAAAGTGTTTGTATTCAGGGAAATCTCTTGTTCAGTGAGGTGCAGTATAGGTGAAATTTCCCCATTTTGCCATTTGATTACCATTTGCCCGTGTTCCTTTCTTTAAAAAAAAATTTCTGGTGTTGCATGGGGCCAGTAGTTCTTTCTAAGGAAATTGAACTGTAAACAGCCTCCCATGCTGCTCTCTGTAAGAGATCTTGAAACATCTTTAAGAACAGAGAGATCCTGCAATGGAACTGACTTCCAGGCTGTTCCCTTCATAATGTAATCTTTCTCTAGGCCTTCCTGTCCTCTCTCTGACCCTGGAGTCTACCTTGTTTTAAAAGAGGAGAAACCTTGGACAAGCATTCATGACACGAGGTGTCCTACTGTTACCAGTGCAAGGTGTACAGGCCTGAAATACCTCCCTGTGATACACATGAGAGCCATTTATTTTTGAAATGCACAAGCATTCGTGTTACTTTTGAGGTCTCAAGACTTTGGCCTGAGTTTGGTACATCGTTTATTCCTTTGCCTTGGGCATGAGAGCCAAATGTTGGAGAAATCTAAATTAATCTATACAATTTTCTGAAGAACTTCAAGTCAGTTCATGATCCTTGAGTACACCAGCTCTCCAGTAGTTCTGTTTATGTTTTTAGCTTGCTTTTTAAGTTTTATTCCATCTTACTGAAAAAAAAAAGAGGACGTCTTCTTCCTTCTACTTTAACATTTCATACTAAAGATTATGGGTGATTACTATATAGGAAACACATATCCTAAACATTAGGTTGTGCTTTCATTTTGTTTTTGGCAGAGAATACTGGGCTTGCAGAGTGGACATTAAGTAGTTTCTCTTTTATTTTTTTCATCTTTTTCATTTTATTTTTTATTTTTTATTTTTTCCCAAATAGTTTGAGGATGGCATCCTTGACGCTTGCCTGTATGTGATGGACAAAGCACAAATGGACCTTTCTGGTAGAGCGAATCCCATCAAAGTCAGCCGTGTTGGGTCTGCAATGGTAAGCGACTACTGATTACTTATGTTGATTACACATGTCATTTGCCTCATTATAGATGCCAGTTCATTAAGAGCTGTTGAAATGATGACTTAAACTTTTATTTGTAAGAGTCTTGAATTCCCTGAACTTGTCAAGTGTTATAAAACAAAATCTTATCTCAGTGCTCTATGTTTCTTTAGCTTCAGACAAATGGTGATAGATGACATGATACTATAGACCACTTATTCTCAGAATCTCTTGCCTAGGGACTGAGGAGTGACCATGACAAAATGTCAATGACTATATCAATCAAACAAACATCAAGAAGCACCAGAAAAAGAGGGGGGAAAAGGAGCAAGACACAGCTTTTCTCCATTTTCACACCCATGTAAAAATAAAGAAATAAATGACTCTAAATCCTAGCTTCTATTGTAATGATACCTCACCATAGGGCTTTCTAGTTTATGAAAGTTAGTTTAGCCTATAGTTTGTAGTTAATTCTTCACATTAACTGCATCAGATAAGTAGGGCAGATATTATGCATGCCATTTTACAAGTTAGGAAACAGGGTGATAACAGTTTGTCAGTGACAAAGCCTCAGCTAGAACCCAGGTCTGCAGACTCCCAATCTAGACATTTCCTGCCTCCCATGTGGCTCTCTATAGAAGATCCTGAAACATCTTTAAGAATGCAGAGATCCTGCAATGGAACAGCTTCTAGGAAAAGAGACAGAATTATCATGAATAGGAAGGTTGGGGGTCAGGTGGCAAAGTGGATTAAATGTGATGCCCAGGTCCTGTGCAGTCCTGGACTGTCCTGATAAATACAGCACATAGATCCTGCCTTTGGTGCATTAAAGCATACCAAATCTGGTTTGTGAGCAGAATATTCTTGAAGAAACATTAAGCAAGGTGTTATTTCCTACAATCAAAGACTGAGCAAAAAAAAAAAATCTATCTTATCAATTTCCTTAAGTTTTCTAAAAAACAAATCCTCTCTTTGGAAGAATTTTATCTTTGAGTTTGGTTTGAGTTAAATAAAATCAATATTGTTCATGTAAACATATTAGAATGAGAATGATGTGAAATATAATTTCTGGTTAGCTTTTAAGAAGAAGGGCTGTTTTTTATTAGTACCTAAGCTACATGTAAATTTAGAAGATCATGGGCATGAAAAGAAGGCAAAGCCAATCTCTCAAGGCGGTTTTGTTTTCTGTTGTTAGTTCACATTGCATAATGAAAAGATGGCGAATTCTAAAGAACTTAGGAATTTCTTTATAATAACTATTTATAACAATATATATTAGACCTGTAGGTGATCACTGCTATTCCTGTTTCCCAGACAAGATTCCCATTTTTCTTTTCCTTGGAAGTTACCATTGCAGGTTTGCAGTGAGAAGGAAGCAACACCTCTCAGTGGTTGAATATGAACTAATGCCTTCTTGCATTCTGGAATGACATGCTCACCAGCCTAAGCTTACTCACACATTGTGCATATTTTTACTAATCTAAAAATCACTGCCTAACACAAGCGAATGCAAGAGGGAAGTAAACATGAAGCAGCTAACCTAAAACTTTCTGTAGTGGCATCTGGCCAAGTGGAAGCCGTGGAATCTTGTGTTAAACACACAATCCTAATGCAAATTTCCTTGAGTGTTATTAGTCACAAAAAACCTATGGAGTTCTAATTTTGAAAATCCATAACCCAATTATAAGATTTAGAACTCGACAGAACCTATGAGGAGGGGTGGGGAGGAATGGTTTGGTTTGGGTTGGCTTTATTTTTGAAGGGAGAGGTCTTGGGCATTAGGAGACAGAGGCCCTACCCTGGGCTGTTTTTTTGTTTTGTTTTGTTTTTGTTTCAAGTTTTTATTTAAATTTTAGTTAGTTAACATATAGTGTAATATTGATTTCAGGAGTAGAATTTAGTGATTCGTTACTTACATATAACACCTGGTGTTCATCACATCAAGTGCCGTCCTTAATACCCATCACCATTTAGCCCATCCCCCTCCTACCTCCTCTCTATCAACCCTCAGTTTGTTTCTCTATAGTTAAGAGTCTGTCATGGTTTGGCTCCCTCTCTTTTTTCCCCCTTTCCCTATGTTCATCTGTTTTGTTTCTTAAATTCCACATGAGTTAAATCATATGGTATTTGTCTTTCTCTGACTGACTTATTTCCCTTAGCATAATACACTCTAGCTCCATCCACGTCATTGCAAATGGCAAGATTTCATTCTTTTAGATGGCTGAGTAATATTTCATTGTATATATACCACATCTTCTTTATCCATTCATCAGTCAATGAACATTTGGGCTCTTTCCATAATTTGGTTATTGTTGACAATGTTGCTGTAAACATCTGGGTACATGTGTCCCTTCGAATCAGTGTTTTTGTATCCTTTGCATAAATACCTAGTAGTACAGTTGCTGGATCATAAGGTAGCTCTATTTTTAACCTTTTGAGGAACCTCTATACTGTTTTCCACAGTGGCTGCACCAGTTTGCATTCCCACCAACAGTTTGAGAGTGTTCCTCTTTCTCCACATCCTCACCAACATCTGTTGTTTCCTGTATTGTTAATTTTAGGCATTCTGACAGGTATGAGATGATATCTCATTGTAGTTTTGATTTGTATTTCCCTGATGATGAGTGATGTTGAGCATCTTTTCATGTGTCTATTAGCCATCTGAACGTCTTCTTTGGAAAAATGTCTGTTCATGTCTTCTGCCCATTTCTTAACTAGATTATTTTTGGGGGTGTTGAGTTTGATAAGTTCTTTATAGATTTGGATACTAGCCCTTTATCAGATATGTTGTTTTCAAATATCTGCTCCCATCCTGAAGGTTTTCTTTTAATTTTGTTGATTGTTTCACCCGGGGTTGTTTTGGACGATATTTCTGTTTCTACTCCCACCATTATTTACATCCATAAAATATATGTTTGATAGTTTTCAAAACTCTTTCATATCCATTTTCTCCTTTAATTCTTAGAAGAGCTCTATAAACCTTTTCGAAATCTATTCAGTTATAATGATTTTAGAAATTGAAATATTGAACCTCTGAAAAATCAATAAAAAACATGACACTTAAAAAAAAAAAGTCAGCTGTTTTCTGGTCATTTAGGCAGTTCCTTTCCTGTTCACAAATTCTGGATATCTATCCTGAAATTGAGTGAAGTTAAACAGAGACTGAAAGAAAAACAAAACAAAGATCCCCCTCAAATTTCTCAAAAATTTGCCTTAAAATATGAGAAGATGTATTTAGAAAGCCCAAAAAGAAAATGTTCTAAAGTTGCATGAGTCTGGCCAAAATGGTGATCCTGAGGCAGAGGAGCCTGTGCCTGGTTTCTCAGGGGGCTGGCCTCGTCGACGGGAAGAACAGAGGCTGCTGCTGGGTGTTTTAGGAATTCTTCTTATGTATCTCCTCAGGCTGGTCACCAAGGCTAGAAATTCCTTTCACAGGATAACAGTACTAGAACAGCCAGACATGGTGACTTGCAAATTCTCTGGGAGGGGCAGTACATTGACTTCAGTTCAATTTCCTGGGATCAACTGCCGCCATGAAGGAGTGGGAATGAGCAGCCTGAAGAGGACCCAGTAGGGACAAGAGGCAAGAGCAGATTGAGGCCCCAAAGGCAAATTTGCCTACTGTGGTCATGACAAAGTCTAGCACTGAAGATTGCAGGGAATTTGCAGGGAGTTGGTGGGAGCACAGTGTTAAATGAGTACAGACAATAATTCAGGTGTGCAAACTTTCCAGTGATAATAATAGTAATATAAATCTGGATGTTAAGTTCACAATCCCCAGATAAAAATTTTTATTGTCCAGTGTCGATGACCTTGGATAGTTCCTTGTTGTGGGGGTTGGCCTGTGCACAAAAGGATTCTAGCAGCATCCTTGGCTTCTACCCTAGAGATGATAGTAGCACCTTCCACCCACCTGTTGTGACAACCAGGAATGGCTTCAGATGTTTCCAAATGTTCCCTGGGGGTTAAAACCATCCCCAAGGAGGACCACAGCACTAAACCCCTCTGTGGTTCGGTTTCCCAGACTATGCAGTGAACATAACCCTCTTTTCTCACCTGCACAGAGGATCTGTCTTCTTACCTCATTCAAAACCTGCTGGTTTTCAGGGTGCCTAGGTGGCTCAGTCAGTTAAGCTTCTGCCTTCAGCTCAGGTCATGATTCTGGAATCCTGGCATCAAGCTCCACATTGGGCTCCCTGCTTGGCGGGGAATCTGCTGCTCCCTCTCCCTCTGTACTTCCCCCCGCCCCGCCACCCCCTCCTACCCCACCGCTCATGCTCTCTCTCACTCACATTCTTTCTCAAATAAATAAATAAAATCTTAAAAAAAAAACCTGCTGGTTTTCATTTCTCCACTGAAGCAAAAGTGGAGGCAGCATCATATGGGAAGAGCTCTGGCCCATGTCAGATCAGATCCCTCTACCGCTAACTTACCATGTGACTCAGGACAAATCACTCAACCTCTCCAGGCCTCACTTCATCCTTAAAATAAAATTTTGTCTCTCTGCTCAAACCACATTTATTATTCCCAGTGGTAGCACATATATCTTTTTATTCCTCAAACCAATGTTCTTCTTTCTTCTGTTTTTTCCTTTATAAATTCAGTATCTTATTTTGTCCTCATTTTGAGTTGCTGTTACTGCACTTTGATGTGAAAACTGGAAAAGTTTATGACAGTCTGGACAGCTTTGGGCTATTGGATTTTCCCAAGAGAAAGAAAGTCTAAAAATCCTGTAATCTCATTGTTGGGATTTTGGGTCTGAGATGTTATAACCTTACATAAGCTGACTTTTATTTAGGCTCTTCTAAATACTGAGTGGTGCACTTTACCAAAGCCACACTGCAGACTGATTTAAGAGAGAAAAATTTTAAATAGAGGAAATTAGAAAAAAGAAGAAACTTGCCCAAAGTTGTACTTTCTCCTTTAAATTACATTGCTTGATTGTTGTTTTCTTTCTACCTCATATATGATGGGACAGTCCCCACCAGGACAAT